TAGGATATTTTCGAAGTGAGGTAATAAGAGAAAATACCTGAAAAATCCGTAGGTGCCGTGATGAGGGCTCGAACTTACGCACACACGCTACCGACTAGACCACCACGACATGGTCACAGGAGTCGAACCTGGAATTCTACTGAACTCAAGAGGGTTTCCTGAGGCTTCCTTAGAAGCCGGACCAGGGTTTTCCCCCCCCCCCAATCACTTCCCCCCTCCCCCCCTCCCCATGCACTCTGGCTTTGTCTTGTTGTTGTTGTTTAAGATTCGCTACTTGGAACAAAAAGTTCCAAGCAGCACGGGCTATGGTGATCCCGTGTGGCTCTGTCGTCCAGGAGTTTTCTACCTCTGATGCTTCTCTAACGTCAGACCAAGGCTTTCTGCACTCTACACGTACGTCAGACCAAGGTTTTCTGCACTCTACACGTACGTCAGACCAAGGTTTTCTGCACTCTACACGTACGTTAGACCAAGGTTTTCTGCACTCTACACGTACGTCAGACCAAGGTTTTCTGCACTCTACACGTACGTCAGACCAAGGTTTTCTGCACTCTACACGTACGTCAGACCAAGGTTTTCTACACTCTACACGTACGTCAGACCAAGGTTTTCTACATTCTACACGTACGTCAGACCAAGGTTCTCTACACTCTAAACCACGTACGTCAGACCAAGGTTTTCTACACTCTACACGTACGTCAAACCAAGGCTTTCTTCACTCTTAACCACGTACGTCAGACTTAGATGATTTTCCAGCCGACACTTGAATGGTTACTAAAGGAAAAATGCAACAGCAAGCTAGTTATTGTGCCAGCCACAAGTCTGAATATACAACAGTAGGCTTCCCACAGACCAATCACCAGGGAAGGCTTCCCACAGACCAGTCACCAGGGAAGGCTTCCCATAGACCAGTCACCAGAGAAGGCTTCCCACAGACCAGTCACCCGGGAAGGCTTCCCATAGACCAGTCACCAGAGAAGGCTTCCCACAGACCAGTCACCAGGGAAGGCTTCCCACAGACCAATCACCAAGGAAGGCTTCCCATAGACCAATCACCAGGGAAGGCTTCCCATAGACCAATCACCAGGGAAGGCTTCCCATAGACCAATCACCAGGGAAGGCTTCCCATAGACCAATCACCAAGGAAGGCTTCCCATAGACCAATCACCAAGGAAGGCTTCCCATAGACCAATCACCAAGGAAGGCTTCCCACAGACCAATCACCAAGGAAGGCTTCCCACAGACCAATCACCAAGGAAGGCTTCCCATAGACCAATCACGAGGGAAGGCTTCCCACAGACCAATCACCAGGGAAGGCTTCCCACAGACCAGTCACCCGGGAAGGCTTCCCACAGACCAGTCACCCGGGAAGGCTTCCCACAGACCAGTCACCCGGGAAGGCTTCCCACAGACCAGTCACCCGGGAAGGCTTCCCACAGACCAGTCACCCGGGAAGGCTTCCCACAGACCAGTCACCCGGGAAGGCTTCCCACAGACCAATCACCAGCTTCCCACTCGTCGGGCTGCGGGAAACTCTGGAAACGGTCAACAGGTAATCCACAGGTAAACAACAGAACTCACCAAATCCGATCACAACGGCGAAAACACGCTTCTAACGTCTTCCCACTTTCTTTAGCTAAACAAATTCACTAGAGAAAATGGGAAGCGGGTAGCAGCGGGTGAATAAAGAAAACGTGACACCAATTAGTTGATACTGCTGGTGTTGAGAATGTAAAAAAAAAAAATCCGAATTTTATTGGTAAATTGGTCTATTACGACGTTTGCATATCTTGGTATTTAAAGGTAAAGAATGGGTAATAAATGGGTAATGGGTAATGGGTAAATGGGTAATAAATGGCGGTAAAGAATGGGTAATAATTTTTTTTTTAGGGGTTTAGGGTAGTAATTGTTATTTGTAAGGGAAGTGGGGAAGGGAACACGGAGCCGCACTCTAGGGTCATGTTGTGGTTCAGTTGGTGGTGGTGATGTGTAGAGGAGGGGGCGGGGGAGAAGGGGGGTGTGGGGGTGGGGTTATTGGGCGGGTTGCTGAAGGGTTTGGGCAAGGTTCGCTTATACTGATATCCCTTTCCTGTTGCCCAATTATTTGGGCTGGACGGTATAGAGCGATACGGTCTCGCTTCATGCAGGTCGGCGTTCAATCCCCCGACCGTCCACAAGTGGTTGGGCACCATTCCTTCCGTCCCATCCCAAATCCTAATCCTGATACCCCTTCCCTTTGCTATATAGTCGTAATGGCTTGGCGCTTTCTGGGCATAGTTCCCTTCCCTTCCCTTCCCTTCCCTTCCTTTCCCTTCGTGTTGTATAGCAAAATAGTGTTATTCTCTCTCCCCTACTGTCTCCCTTTTCCCCTCTCCCTCCCTTCTTCTCTCCCTTACCCAAGCCTCCTCTCTTCCTTCCCCCTCTCCCTTACCTAAGCCTCCCTTACTCCTATGTATATATTTGAACGTCTGTATAGTTATGTGTATGAATACCCGTGGCCCAAAAAAAGCAATTTCGACTTCTCGTACCCAGCTAGTTGACGCTTAAAGCTCAATTGATCTTATAAATATATAATGACAGAGGCGCCAAACGAGACGGGAATTAATGATGAGCGGACGGGAGCTGACGGTGAATGACAGACAGGTTATGAATGAGACGGTGGACGGGTGTGTGTGTGTGCTTTTGTGAATGGGGAGCTTACCTACCTGCTGGGGGAAGTGGGAGGTTACCTACCTGCTGGGGGAAGTGGGAGGTTACCTACCTGCTGGGGGAAGTGGGAGGTTACCTACCTGCTGGGGGAGGTGGGAGCTTACCTACCTGCTGGGGGAGGTGGGAGCTTACCTACCTGCTGGGGGAGGTGGGAGGTTACCTACCTGCTGGGGGAAGTGGGAGGTTACCTACCTGCTGGGGGAGGTGGGAGCTTACCTACCTGCTGGGGGAAGTGGGAGCTTACCTACCTGCTGGGGGAGGTGGGAGCTTACCTACCTGCTGGGGGAGGTGGGAGCTTACCTATAGCTGCTGGGGGAGGTGGGAGGTTACCTACCTGCTGGGGGAGGTGGGAGCTTACCTATAGCTGCTGGGGGAGGTGGGAGGTTACCTACCTGCTGGGGGAGGTGGGAGCTTACCTACCTGCTGGGGGAGGTGGGAGCTTACCTACCTACTGGGGGAGGTGGGAGCTTACCTATAGCTGCTGGGGAGGGGGGAGCTTACCTATAGCTGCTGGGGGAGGGGGGAGCTTACCTATAGCTGCTGGGGGAGAGGGGAGCTTACCTATAGTTGCTGGGGGAGGGGGGAGCTTACCTATAGCTGCTGGGGGAGTGGGGGAGCTTACCTATAGCTGCTGGGGAGGGGGGAGCTTACCTATAGCTGCTGGGGGAGGGGGGAGCTTACCTATAGCTGCTGGGGGAGGGGGGAGCTTACCTATAGTTGCTGGGGAGGGGGGGAGCTTACCTATAGCTGCTAGGGAAGGGGGAGCTTACCTATAGCTGCTGGGGAGGTGAGAGCTTACCTATAGCTGCTGGGGGAGGGGGGAGCTTACCTATAGCTGTTGGGGAGGGGGGAGCTTACCTATAGTTGCTGGGGGAGGGGGGTAGCTTACCTATAGCTGTTGGGGAGGGGGGGAGCTTACCTATAGCTGCTGAGGAGGGGGGGAGCTTACCTATAGCTGCTGGGGAGGTGGGAGCTTACCTATAGCTGCTGGGGAGGTGGGAGCTTACCTATAGCTGCTGGGGAGGGGGGAGCTTACCTATACCTGCTGGTATAGACAGGAAGCTGCCCCGTATAGGGGCCAATAGGCCTTCTGCAGTTTCCATCGTTATTATTTTTGTATTGACTTCATTAATGACATTCATTAATGATTCATTAATGACATTAATGATTAATTAATGACATTAATGAACCTTAAGGAACAATTTGCAACCTGGGCCTCAGTTGCATTATCTTGCTTCTCTTGCAAGATGTATCTTAAAGTGTAAATTGTACGGCCCTTTGAGGAGAATTGCCAGGATATTAACATTGTAACTTTTTGAATATTCGTAACTCCTTGTTCAGCCTTAGCTGTGTCGCTGAGAGGGACTTTATTCTGACTTAGTTGTGTCGCTGAGAGGGACTTTATTCACACTTAGCTGTGTCGCTGAGACTTTATTCAGACTTAACTGTGTCGCTGAGACTTTATTCAGACTTAACTGTGTCGCTGAGACTTTTTTCAGCCTTAGCTGTGTCGCTGAGACTTTTTTCAGTCTTTGCTGTGTCGCTGAGAGAGACTTTATTCAGCCTTAGCTGTGTCGCTGAGACTTTTTTCAGTCTTTGCTGTGTCGCTGAGAGAGACTTTATTCAGCCTTAACTGTGTCGCTGAGACTTTTTTCAGTCTTAACTGTGTCGCTGAGACTTTATTCAGACTTAACTGTGTCACTGAGACTTTATTCAGCCTTAACTGTGTTGCTGAGACTTTATTCAGTCTTTGCTGTGTCGCTGAGACTTCATTCAGCCTTAGCTGTGTCGCTGAGACTTTATTCAGCCTTAGCTGTGTCGCTGAGACTTTATTCAGACTTAACTGTGTCGCTGAGACTTTATTCAGCCTTAACTGTGTCGCTGAGACTTTTTTCAGTCTTTGCTGTGTCGCTGAGACTTTATTCAGTCTTTGCTGTGTCGCTGAGACTTTATTCAGTCTTTGCTGTGTCGCTGAGACTTTATTCAGTCTTTGCTGTGTCTCTGAGACTTTATTCAGTCTTTGCTGTGTCGCTGAGACTTTTTTCAGCCTTTGCTGTGTCGCTGAGACTTTATTCAGCCTTAGCTGTGTCGCTGAGACTTTATTCAGCCTTAGCTGTGTCGCTGAGACTTTATTCAGCCTTAACTGTGTCGCTGAGACTTTATTCAGCCTTAACTGTGTCGCTGAGAGAGACTTTATTCAGCCTTAGCTGTGTCGCTGAGACTTTATTCAGCCTTAGCTGTGTCGCTGAGAAAGTTGTCCTCAATTAGCTCCCTTTTCCGTTTTTTTTTCAATGTTTCTTTTTCCCCTTCACATTCCTTATCTTTTCACTACGTCAATTTGTCTCCACAAAACGTCCGTGGACGTCTCAGAAACGTCCGTGGACGTCTCAGAAACGTCCGTGGACGTCTCAGAAACGTCCGTGGACGTCTCAGAAACGTCCGTGGACGTCTCAGAAACGTCCGTTGACGTCTCAGAAACGTCCGTGGACGTCTCAGAAACGTCCGTTGACGTCTCAGAAACGTCCGTGGACGTCTCAGAAACGTCCGTGGACGTCTCAGAATCGTCCGTGGACGTCTCAGAAACGTCCGTGGACGTCTCAGAAACGTCCGTTGACGTCTCAGAAACGTCCGTTGACGTCTCAGAAACGTCCGTGGACGTCTCAGAATCGTCCGTGGACGTCTCAGAATCGTCCGTGGACGTCTCAGAAACGTCCGTGGACGTCTCAGAAACGTCCGTTGACGTCTCAGAAACGTCCGTGGACGTCTCAGAATCGTCCGTGGACGTCTCAGAATCGTCCGTGGACGTCTCAGAAACGTCCGTGGACGTCTCAGAAACGTCCGTGGACGTCTCAGAATCGTCCGTGGACGTCTCAGAAACGTCCGTGGACGTCTCAGAATCGTCCGTGGACGTCTCAGAAACGTCCGTGGACGTCTCAGAAACGTCCGTGGACGTCTCAGAATCGTCCGTGGACGTCTCAGAAACGTCCGTGGACGTCTCAGAAACGTCCGTTGACGTCTCAGAAACGTCCGTGGACGTCTCAGAAACGTCCGTGGACGTCTCAGAATCGTCCGTGGACGTCTCAGAATCGTCCGTGGACGTCTCAGAATCGTCCGTGGACGTCTCAGAAACGTCCGTGGACGTCTCAGAAACGTCCGTTGACGTCTCAGAAACGTCCGTGGACGTCTCAGAAACGTCCGTGGACGTCTCAGAAACGTCCGTGGACGTCTCAGAATCGTCCGTGGACGTCTCAGAATCGTCCGTGGACGTCTCAGAATCGTCCGTGGACGTCTCAGAAACGTCCGTGGACGTCTCAGAAACGTCCGTTGACGTCTCAGAAACGTCCGTGGACGTCTCAGAATCGTCCGTGGACGTCTCAGAATCGTCCGTGGACGTCTCAGAATCGTCCGTGGACGTCTCAGAATCGTCCGTGGACGTCTCAGAAACGTCCGTGGACGTCTCAGAAACGTCCGTGGACGTCTCAGAAACGTCCGTTGACGTCTCAGAAACGTCCGTGGACGTCTCAGAAACGTCCGTGGACGTCTCAGAAACGTCCGTGGACGTCTCAGAAACGTCCGTGGACGTCTCGGTTCCATCTGCTGTCCATTCCCTGATTTTCTTTGGCCTTTTTCTTATTTTTTTTAAGTTCCAATTTCATTTTATTTTTTCCGCATTTGTTTTATCCCGTAAAGTGACACATTCTTGCCTATTTTTTCTACTGAAATATTCTTGGTTTAAATCTCGCGTCATCACGAACCTATTTTTTTGGTCGCATCAACGTTGATGAATATGGACGTTGATGTTCTCGTTAAATGTTATTCATCATCTTTAATGTTATTTATAGCTATGTATATTTTATCTAAATGAATAATTTTGTTGAAACACCATCTTTGAAGAAACACCAGATTACTTAATCTTTCCTGTGTGTGTGTGGGAAAAAAACAGTTGATTGATTGACAGTTGGGGCCCAAAGAGCCAGAGCTCAACCCCCCGCAAGCACAACTAGGTGAGTACCTACCACCACTACCACTACAACCACCACAGCCACCACAACCACCACTCATAAGATAAAAACCTATAATACCCATTGGCAATAATATCGGCCCTTGGGAGTCAAAATTACAAGGATCTATTGAATGGTCCAGTTCCCGTAGGTACCGGATTTAATATATATGTGAGAGACTTGGACGTCTCTCTACTTCGAGACTTCGACGTCTCTCTACTTCGAGACTTCGACGTCTCTCTACTTCGAGACTTCGACGTCTCTCTACTTCGAGACTTCGACGTCTCTCTACTTCGAGATTTCGACGTCTCTCTACTTCGAGACTTCGACGTCTCTCTACTTCGAGACTTCGACGTCTCTCTACTTCGAGACTTCGACGTCTCTCTACTTCGAGACTTCGACGTCTCTCTACTTCGAGACTTCGACGTCTCTCTACTTCGAGACTTCGACGTCTCTCTACTTCGAGACTTCGACGTCTCTCTACTTCGAGACTTCGACGTCTCTCTACTTCGAGACTTCGACGTCTCTCTACTTCGAGACTTCGACGTCTCTCTACTTCGAGATTTCTACGTCTCTCTACTTCGAGACTTCGACGTCTCTCTACTTCGAGACTTCGACGTCTCTCTACTTCGAGACTTCGACGTCTCTCTACTTCGAGATTTCGACGTCTCTCTACTTCGAGACTTCGACGTCTCTCTACTTCGAGACTTCGAGAGACGTCTTCAGAGAGCGAAGAGAGAACACACACGTGAATACAGGATGAGAAGATGTTCTTCATAAGGTAGACAGTATATTCAAGAAAGGAAAACAGATGAAAGACTTTCTTCACGCGTCGAGAACGTAGTGAAAGTGAAACTTTTTAACAAGTGATAGTGGAATGAGGATTATCCTCTTAAGTGTAGGATTAAGTGTACTTAACAACGGGGGGGGGGCATTTAAGTGTAACTTAATAAGGGAGTGAGTTCTAAACACGTGGCTGTAAATAGTAACAGTAGCATTAGGCAACAGGAGCAAAAACAGTACCAACAGTGGTGAAAGTAACATTAACAGAAAAACAAAAAGTCTTAAGAAATAGTATTGACCAAGCGGCTCCGACCCGGTCGGCCGAGCGGACAGCACGCTGGACTTGTGATCCTGTGGTCCCGGGGTTGATCGCGGGCGCCGGCGTGAAACAATGGGCAGAGTTTCTTTCACCCTATGCCCTATTCTTTCACCCTAAAATAAGTACCTGGGTGTTAGTCAGCTGTCACGGGCTGCTTCCTGGGGGTGGAGGCCTGGTCGAGGACCGGGCCGCGGGGACATTAAAAAGCCCCGAAATCATCTCAAGATAACCTCAAGATAACCTCAAGATAACCGAGAAGCCACACACTAGAAATTGAAGAGACGACGTTTCGGTCCGTCCTGGACCCAAGACTCACAATCAAGTTGATTGTGATGAGACGAAGGAAGCATGTGAAAAAAGTAAAGCAAGAGAGAGAGGTGAGGAGATGGAAATCTTAAGAGGCAGATAAGAGCAAATCGAAAGGAATGGAATTACGGGCTCACCATAGCCCGTGCTACATGGACACTTCGTTCTGAGTAGCTAAATCTTAAACAACAAAAGGTATGGAAGGCAAGGTATAGTAAAGGGTGTAATAATAGGAATAAGAAAGGGATCATAAGAGGAAAACCAGAGAAAGATAAGATAAAGGGTAGGCTTATGTTAGATCACGTTTGTTAGAAAAGTTAGGACATTTGAGCATATACTGTGAAAGGGAAGAGTCCACAGCAACAAAGCCAGGACTCAGGGTCATGTTGGGTAGAATCAGAGACGATTCAAGACTGATTCAACAGGACGGCGTCTGTGTAGTTATATTCACTCGATCACCTAATCTCTCCAGTCTTTTGTTGACCAGACCACACACTAGAAGTTGAAGGGACGACGACGTTTCGGTCCGTCCTGGACCATTCTCCAGTCTTTTCATTCTTTTCATTCCATTACTCCCTTCCCCCCTCACTCTTCTCTTGTTCCCATTAC